CGGGTTCTGTCTGGGACTCACTCCTGTCTGTGCAGATGGCAAGCATTCAGCCTCTATCATCACGGAAGTCTGAGCTCAAGTCTCAGCATGGACAGTGATTTTGATTAGCTTTAGATTTCAGGAAGTTCCATACCCCAGCAGGGCCTGCTTCTTCCTCCTCTCCCAGGAAAGGAGACACAGCCCCAACCCCAGGATGCTGATAATACGGACAGTCTCCCAGCCCTGGAAAACCCACACGGGAGGAGTGTCACTCCTCCTGATCCACTGGCCATAACTCTTTCTTTGGTCTGGTCATAGTTTCTTCGCATTCCTAGTGTAAGAGTTCGGATGAGGCCATAGGGAGTGACCAGAGAGATAAGGACACAGAAGCAGAAGTGGGGCCAGAAAGATGGCTCAACCTGTCCAGGTTCTCATGGTACAGACTTCGAATCTGAGTTCCACCCCTCTCCTATCCCATGGTACAAGGAGAGAACCAGTTCCTGAAAGTCATGCTGGGATGACTCGCTACATGGGGGAGGGAGCAGACAAACACATCTGCACTCATACACACAGAAAAAACAAAAAAGGAGACAGAGAGATCATACTTTGTTGTCAGAGGCTGCTTGTTTGTTCCCAGCCACCCAGATCTGAAAATAATTACACAGAAACTATATTAATTGCAATACTGTTTGGCCAGTAGCTTAAGCATATTCCTAACTAGTTCTTATATCTTAAATTAACCCATTTCTATTAATCTGTGTATTGCCATGTGGTTGTGGCCCTACCAGTAAGGTTTCATCCAGCGTCCAGAGTCTGTCTCCTGCGGTGGCTACATGGCTTTTCTCTGTCTCCTGTGGTGGTTACATGGCTTTTCTCTGTCTCTACCTACTCTCTCTCTCTCTCTATATATATATATATATATCTCCCAGCCTGGCAATATTCTGTTAAGCCATTGGCCCAAAGCAGCTTTTTTATTAACCAATGACAATAAAACATATTCTCACCATACAGAGGGGAATCCCACATCAATACTTCTTGACTACATAGATAGCAGAAAATGTAGAAAGGAACGAGACAAAGTTAATAAGAAAAGTTATTTGGATGATGGAACGATGAAGTAAGTTGAGGGGAAAAGCTGGTGTGGGGTGTCGAAGAGACTGTTCCCTAATACTTGGTGGCCTTGGAAGAGGAAAGTGAGAGTCGGGAAGTTGGTGCCACAGTTAACTAATAGAGGCCATTGAGGAAAAGGCATGAAAGATAGAGGTTGACCCCAAGTGCCTGAATCCCCTTGATCAGGTTACATGGAGGAAACACCCCTTGTCTCAGCACTGTGGGAGGGGCTGGGATGTGCTAGAGGGAGGTCAGGCAGGGAGAGGTGGGTGGCTCAGTCCAGGTCTGGAAGTCTGGTGGGAGGGGTGGATGAGGGACTTTTTCAGCTCCAAAGAGGATTTCACTAGAAGGTTTCTCTAGGGCTTGCCTGGTGGGGAATGGCTGGGAAGATGAGTGTCCAGGTCACTGTAAAAGGTCACTATAAGCGACTATCTAGTTCAAGTCCTGAATACTGGGCAGAGCAGTTTGTCCTGGACTGTAGATTCTGGAAACAACAAGGAGATGTATGGATAGGTCCTACCACTTCACCCACACACGCGTTCATCCGGTGTAGATTCTGGGAACAACGTGGAGATGTATGGATAGGTCCTACCACTTCACCCACACACGCGTTCATCTGGTCATTCACCTATTGAGACGTGGTCTCCTGTAGCCCCAGCTGGATTTGAACACACTATGTAACCAAGGATGATCTTGACCTTCTGTTTATCCTGTGTCCACTCTCAGGTGCTCAGATTAGAGGTGAACCTCTTTAGACGAAGGTTGCTTGTTTGGTTCCTGGCTGCTCAGACCCAAAATAATCACACAGAAACTGTGTTAATTAAAACACTGCTTGGGCAATATCTTAGGTTTTTTTATTAACTAACTTTTATATCTTAAATTAACCCAGTTCTATTATTTTATATTTTGACAGGAGGAAATGTTAAATATAATATTGAAATGTCTGCCTTGCTCTATTCTGTCCTGTCATAGGCCCAAGTAGCTTTTTTATTCATTAACCAATAAAAGCAGCACATATACAGAAAGACTTCCCACACCAAGCCTCACTTACAGGGCTGGAGGTCAACTCAGGATTTTGCATATGCTGGGCAAATGGTCTACCAATTGAATTATATTCTCCAGCCCAAATTAAATTTATTTTTTTGAGACAAGGTTCCTCTGTGTGTACCCCTGGCTGTCTTGGAACTCGCTTTGTAGGCCAGGATGGTCTCAAATTCACAGAGATATAGCCGGGCAGTCGTGGCGCACGCTTTTAATCCCAATATTCAGGAAGGCAGAGGCAGGCAGATCTCTGTGAGTTCCAGGACAGGCTCCAAAGCTACAGAGAAAACTTGTCTCAAAAAACCAAGAAAAAAGAAAACAATTGCTGGGTGGTGGCGGCACACACCTTTAATCCGAGAACTTGCGAGGCAGAGGCAGGAAGCTCTCTGTGAGTTCGAGACCAGCCTGGTCTACAAGAGCTAGATCCAGGACAGGCTCCAAAGCTACAGAGAAACATTGTCTCAAAAAACCAAAAAAAAAAAAAAAAAAAAAAAAAAAAAGGCCCCCGCCACCACCACCAGACTAGGTTTTGTTGTTTGTTTTTTGAGACAGTGTTTCCTCTGTGTAGACCTGGCTGTCCTGAAACTTGCTCCTTAGGCCAGGCTGGTCTTGAATTCAGGAATCAGCCTGTTTCTGCCTTCCAAACTCTGGGATTAAAGGCACACACCACCACACCTGTTTCCCTAAATTTTTTTCCAGATGTGGTCTCTCTAGATAGGGCAAGCTGACCTTGAGCTCGCCATGTAGCTGGAACTCCTGGCAACCCTTCTGCGTTAGCCTCCAGAGTGCTGGGGTGATCGGCACAAGCCTCTGTGTCTAGTGAGGTCTGCTTTTCTCTTTACTGTGACGTGGGAGTGGATGAACATTTCACAGACAGGTGTAATAGCGCACGTGTGTGATCCCAGCATGCGTCAGGCCGGAGTAGCAGAGCCAGCCGGGGTTATATAATAAGACTCTGTCTCATTTGAAAACGGCTTGGAGCTGGAGAAATGGTGTCTTAGTTACTTTTCTACTGAGATGAAACACTGTGACCAAGACAAGATGTAGCAGAGGGAATTTAATTCTTTATAGTTCCAGAGGCTTGGAGCTTATGTCGGAGACAGAGGTAGGTGACTGGAGCAGCAGCTGGGAGTTCACGTCTTGATCTGCAAGCAGCAGGCAGAGAGCTAACCGGGAATAGGGTGAGTCTTTTGAAACCTCAGAGCCCACCCTCCGGGACACATCTCCACCAAGGCAATACAGTTTCACCAACTGGGGACCATGTAATCAAACACGAGCTTATGGGGCCGTTGAGACCCTCACAGATGGTTCAGCAGTTAAGAGCACTGGCTGTTCTTCCAGAAGACTGGGGTTCAATTCCAAGCACCCATATGGTGGATCGCAGACAACTCTAACTTCAGTATCTGGGGGTTCTATGCTGCCCTCTTCTGGCTTCTGAGGGCATTGGGCATGCACACAATGCACACACATATGCAGGCAAAATATCATTCACATGCCGGGCGGTGGTGGCGCACGCCTTTAATCCCAGCACTTGGGAGGCAGAGGCAGGTGGATCTCTGTGAGTTCGAGACCAGCCTGGTCTACAGAGCTAGTTCCAGGACAGGCTCCAAAGCCACAGAGAAACCCTGTCTCAAAAAACCAAAAAAAAAAAAAAAAAAAAAATCATACACATTAAAAAATAAAATAAGGCCGGGCGATGGTGGCGCACGCCTTTAATCCCAGCACTCGGGAGGCAGAGGCAGGTGGATCTCTGTGAGTTCGAGACCACAGAAGCTACAGAGCTAGTTCCAGGACAGGCTCCAAAGCCACAGAGAAACCCTGTCTCGAAAAACCAAAATAAATAAATAAATAAATAATAAAAAAAATAAAATAAGGGGGCTGGAGAGATGGCTCAGAGGTTAAGAGCATTGCCTGCTCTTCCAAAGGTCCTGAGTTCAATTCCCAGCAACCACATGGTGGCTCACAACCATCAGTAATGAGGTCTGGTGCCCTCTTCTGGCCTGCAGGCATACACACCGACAGAATATTGTATACATAATAAATAAATAAATTTAAAAAAATAAAATAAAATAAGATAAACAGGAAGCATATGCAGATTGGAGGTGTCTTCAAGCAACAGGCCCACTTTTGAGTGCACGGGTGCATTGTATTGTGACTGTGTGACTTGGGTACATATATGTGCTTTGGGGGGGGATCTGCTGCTACATGCTTCCCAGTACTATGCGGGGGTCAGTGGAGGGTCTGTTTTGTGCGTGTGTATGTGTGAGGGAGAGTTGTCTGTATGGGTGACCCTGAGCTACACATCTGAGTTCTGTGAATCGTTGCGGCCTCTGAGCTAGGTGGTTCTATACTAAGGGGGTTGGGGGAAGGCACAGGGTTGTCCTTGTTGCTGGCACTGGGTATCCATAACGGGCAGGCGGCATGGTCCTAGGTTGGGAGCTTTAGAGCCAGGCCTGAGTGGTGACTCCTAGGCTGTTGCCCCTGAGAGAATGACCTCTCTCTGAGCAATAATTAACTTGGCCCTGTGAGAAGGATCCAAACTGTGGAGGTGAAGGGGTGGAGTCTTCTCAGCACAGGAGGAGGGCTGGAAGTCCTATAGGCAGCTGTGCGGTTATCATTTCCTCCTGCCCACCCTTCAGGTCAGTCACCCTGACCCAGGATAACCGGGTCAAAATATTTCACAAACACTGAGGCACAGACATTAACCAATCAAAACAGACTCTAGCCAGACTCTGAATGGAGCAGGGCTGGAGGCTGTAGCCTGACCAAGTACAGCCTAGGTGACTAGGACAACAGGATGACCCTCTGAGCGGAGGAGGGTCCCAGGTCTGGGGCAGGGCAGAGGCACAATGGAAGGGAACTCAGGGACTCAGGACACAGTGGTTTCAGACTTTAATAACTGCGGGTGACCATACCATAGTTAAACTTCTGCCTGCTTCAGCTTCTAAGTTGCTTTTGGGGCAGCTCTGGCTGCTTTGTTCCCTGGTGCTGGGAGAGTAAAGAACCAGTATCTTCTGTCAGTTGCAGGAAGGGGGTACTCTGAGGGTCAAGAATTCTTGAAAGTAAAGTGGTCTTGTCTACTTTGGGAATGGGGCATTTCTGTGATTAGCTGCAATCCCAATATCTCCGAGGTAAGAGACGATCTCTAGGGGACAGTAACCTGGAGACAGGAACAGAAAGTCCCTCTGCTCATGGAGAAGGGCGTGAAGGTGGCAAAAGTGAGAAGAGGCTTTCTGGTGGCCTCTCATTCAGCTGTAAAACAAAGCTTATCCCTAGCACTGACATCACCATCCTGCCCTAGAACATTAAGGAGCTGGTCTCTGGTTCCTTCCCAGGAGTCCCCTCTGGCAAGAGTAGGGTGCACCCTGGAGATTGGCTCGTCCCTTCTACAGGCAACTATGGTGTCAGTTGGTCATACCTTTTATTACAAAAACCAATAACTTAGTTTAGTTCTATACAAAGTCAGGAGGAGTTCTGGCTTGATGTATACAGCCTTATTCATGCTCCCATCCCTGGCCCAGGCCCAGAGGCTTTGGGGGCCACCAAGGGCCTATTAGGCAGTTAGTAGCACATTGTGTCCAAGCCAAGGAAGTCCAAACTGGGGCTGTGGCTGAAGTGAGGGCTACATCTGGGGAGTTGAGCTCCTCCCCTTTGGAAGCTCCGGACCCCACTCTGCAGGTCACCTCAGCAAAAGCATGTCTTCGAGCAGTTCAGTGATGTCAACATCTCCGATGATAGGGCGGAAAAAGAGGTCCACCAGCAGGCTGCAGGGAATGTTCTTGAGAGTGGAGGCCATGAGGAGGATTCGGGCCAGGCGGCCTTGGCTAACTGGGTACCAGGGCTCCAGGACTTCGCACAAGGCCCAGTGAGCCTCCTGTTGCAGGTGGGCGATGTGGCAGGAGGCATGGAGGCCTGGCACATCTGCGGTAGAGGGCGAAGAGAGCGAAGAGGGCTGGTAAGTGGCTGCTCTGTGGAGGCTAGCCCAGGCTAGCCCAGGGTGGGAGAATGCTAGCAGTTCCCTCCCCTCACCTGCTGGGGTGCAAGGCAGGGCCTCGCGCATGCTTGTGCCCGCTAGGCAGGCCTTCTGCAACTGCGCTGTACATTGATGGCTCCTTTAATATGCTAGGCAAGAGTTGTACGGCTGAACTGCATTCCCAGCCCTTACAGAGACCTAATTGTCTGGTGGTGCTAGGGATCAAATCCAGGACCTGTCGCTCAGGAGGCAATACTTTACTCATGAGTTCCATGCCTTGGCCCTCTCTGCACCATCTCCTTCATTTTCTTTTCTTTTCTTTTTTTTTTTCTTTTTCTTTTTTGGTTTTTCAAGACAGGGTTTCTCTGTGGTTTTGGAGCCTGTCCTGGAACTAGCTCTTGTAGACCAGGCTGGTCTCGAACTCACAGAGATCCGCCTGCCTCTGCCTCCCGAGTGCTGGGATTAAAGGCGTGCGCCACCACCGCCCGGCATCTCCTTCATTTTATTCATCCATCCACTTACAGACTGGAAGGAGATGATCCGGATATGATGACTACGATGTACGAACGACATTGATGGCTCAGAGGTTAAGAGCACTTACTGTTATGGCCGAGAACCTGGGTCCAGCTCCTACCTCCATTGTGACTCACAACTGCCTATAACTCCAGTTCCTTCCACCCTCTTCTGGCTTCCGTGAGCTCCCACTTAAATGAGGCACATATATACAGGTAGAAAATCATACACATAAGATAATATATAAATAAATAAATAAATCTTTTTCCTACTTTCTTGTTTGAGACAGAGTTTCTCCGTGTAGCCCTGACTGTCCTGGAACTTGATAGGTAGACCAGGCTGGCCTTGAATTTGCATTTGCAGAGATCCCCCTACCTCTGTCTCTGGAGTACTGGGATTAAAGACACCAGCCTTTAAATCTAAAAAAAAAAAAAAAAAAAAAAAGAGCCAGGTGGTGGTGGCGCATAGCTTTTAATCCCAGCACTTAGGAGACAGAGGCAGGTGGATCTTTGTGAGTTGTGAGTTCAAGGCCAGCCAAAACCATACGAAGAAGCCCTGTGTTGGAAAAAAAAATACAAAACAAAACAGAACCAGGCTGTCTGGATTTGAATCCCAGCGCGGCCACTTGTTAGCTGAGTGACTTTGGACAAGTAGTTTAATCTTTATGAGTGACCTTAGATGAGGAGTTTAATCTTTGTGCCTCAGTTTCTTCATCTGCCAAGCAGGGATAATGACGGTACCTGTCTCCCACGATTGTTATGAGGTTTAACCAAACCAGTATTTGTCACACCCTTAGCCTGTGTCCTGACATATGGTAAGTGCATGTGGCTGTTTGGTGCTGTTGCTGCTGTTTGGCAGGATACTTTAACTTTCAAGGCTTGTCTCTTATCTTCTTCAAAGCTACAAAGAATATTTTCCCGTGCCAAGCATTGTCTTGGTTTGAGGTCAACTTGCTCTGTAGTGAGTTCTAGGCCAGCTAGAGTTTCCTGCCGAGACTCCGCCTCAGGTCTTGGCATCGTCTGGCCCGCCACCCATTGCTGTTCTCTTGGCTAGATTTCCCAAGGAGTGCTCACTCCCATTCTTTCATCTTCCTGCTCTGTGTGGCCTCTCTGAACCCACAGAGGATTTTAACCTTTAGAACCTCACTGTGCAGGAAGATGTGGTTGCCACGTGGCTGAGGTTTCCCCTACTCCCTCCACCCTCCCAAAGTCCCCGAGAGTCGGGGCAAATTTCTCAGGTGCAGCTGCAAAGATCAATCTTTGCATTTGCTTGGCTTGCTTTTCCAGCCCTGCTCTGCCACCTCAACCTTGCTGTGTGGCCTTCAGATAGTTACTTAACTTCTCTATGTCTCTCTTAGGAGATATCTATTTGAGGCTAACAAGGATACAAAGAGACAATGGATGTCAAGCCCCGAGAAGGTTCTTTCCCTGGATGGGTCCTATACACTCCCAGTTTGGTCACCAGCCGTGAGTGTCTGGAAACTCACCTGGATTGAAGAGAATGGTTCCTTTCAAGTAGGCATACTCCTGGGGACCCAGTTCAAGGCTCCAGAAAGACTCCAGACAACGCTGGAGCCACCGCACAGCAGCCAGTGAGGGTTGTGGCCGGTCTGGTTGCTGGGTACCCTGGGGACTGCTGCTGGGTTCCTCCAGTAGGATTTGTTTAAGTATACTGGGCACCGGAGCCTCAGCCACCTCAAAGGTCACAGTATCTTGGGCCAACCCAAGCAGGAAGAGAGGGCCCCAGCAGCCCCCCAGCAGCCGACGCTGATCCTCGTGGGGCAGGTGGCAGAAGGACGGCAGGTTCCGGAGGAATGCCACTGTCTTGGCTAGGACATCCAGAGCCTCCCGGCAGGTGCGGTGTGGGGCACACAGATGAACAGGCCGGTGCTGCTGGCACAGACAGTGGCTGCGAGATGCCGGTGCAATGGGCCTGGACCTGAGGCTGGGGCTCAGAAGTGCGTACAGAATAGCTGGGCGGCCGGCAGAGCCCTGGCATGGGCAACCCCCAGACTGGCTGGAGTTCATGGTTGGTGTCTTGTTCCCGTTTCTTCCCAGCTCTCTGGCCTTTCTGTACTGTGGGGCTATTTATATCCTCGATGGGCGGGAGGGGGGAATGGCCGTGCAACCTTGACTCCAGAAGTCGTGTTCATTGAAAAAAAAAAAAAACACATACACACACACACAATGCATACACACACTGACCCTGGCAGGACTGGTGAGGAAATGGTGGGGGAGGGGCACTGGAGCTCCACGTGGCCTTGCTATCGCTTTAGTCAATGAAGTGGCCATTGCAGGGCACAGGGCCACCTTCCTGCCTTTTATCGGATGACTCAAGTGTATAAACAAGGTCATTAACCCAGGCTGTCCCAGGGCACCAAGGTCTCAGGTGCTTAACCAGCCAGTGGCTCGGACTGCTGCTTCTGTTGGTGCCCACTTTCATGCACACAGGACCAGGGTTCTCACTGAGCCAAGGAGCCAGCCAGGGAAAGCTGGCGAAAGCCTTGAATGCACAACCCAGCCTGGAAGTGCCTTATCGCGGCTGTGTTTGCCTAACCTTGGGGCTCTGCCCCCTTTGTTGGTGAGCAACAGGGTGCAGGGAAGGGAGCCAGGTCCCTGGGGACTTTACTCATTGTACAGTTTAGAAGGCCCCCTTCCTGGGACTCCAGCACAGGGGCCCCTTTAGAGAAAGGCCATTCGGAGCCCCCTGCTCCCAGCCTGCATTCCTACAGCTCCAGGGCAGCTGGCCCTGCTGGCCCTTGAAAAACCATGAGCTTGCCTGGCTACCATTTGTTGAAGACACACTAGATGCGGGTCACTTTCCATTGTGATGTTGGGGACTTCCAGAGGAGATTAGAGTCTTACTCTGTGACACGCAAAGAGGTGAACTGACCTGCTTCAAGTTACTCCAACGGGAAGGGATAGAGCACAGTTACAGATAGCCTCAAAGTCACCCTTGTTTGTCCCCCTGGGTCAATTGTGCACTTCAGTGTGAGTTTCCCAGCACCGGCGGGGAGGAATTGACCCCCCCCCATCCCTGCCTGGTCTGCAGGTGTGGCCCGCCTCTGGAGTGAGTGGAAACATATCTCCGGCAGCACATGGCTTCTCTCTCCCGGATATTTGTCTCAAGTGGTTAGAGGCGGGGGACAAGGGAAATGGGAGGCCCCCAGTTGTGTCAGGTTCCTGACCTTGGCTAGCCTTGCCTAGCAGGCTCACTGTCGCCACACTCTAGGGCAACCTGGTGCTCCTGGACGAGAAGAGAGAGACTCTGGAGTCCTCCACCCTGGCATCAGGTCTTGGCTCCACGCTTGTCAGTCGCCCGTGTGACTGTCAACTGGCCTCCAGGGTTCTGTGAGCTTTGGTGTCTTACCTGAGACATTAAGGTCTCCCTGCGGTGCTGACTTGAGCGAGGTACTGCAGAGACTGCACATCCCATTCTAACCTTGCAGGCAGGCAGGCTGCTTCTGCTGTAATAGCCTATACCTCAGCCCAGGCCTCCCTTAGGAAAGGAACAGACCAGCAGGTATGGCAAGGAACACTCACAGTGAGAAAACCAACACAGCCGGCCTGAAGGAGTTGGGCGAGGTGGTCCTCGGATGGTCCGAGAGGTTCCATTCCCGTCTATCTCTTTCCTAGAAATGACACAGGAAGCCTGAGGCTCCATTCCTTTATTGTTGTTTGTTTGGTGCTAGCCTTGAATTTGCACTGTGTTGCCTTGGCCACCCAGCTGCTAGAATTACAAGTCTGAGCTACCACACCTACCTGCTGGCTGCTGCTTTTTAATTTCATTTATTGGGTATGATGGCTGTAGACAACATAAAATATGTTGTTTTTTTAAAAATATTTATTGATTTATTATGTATACAATATTTGGTCTGTGTGTATGCGTGAAGGCCAGAAGAGGGCACCAGACCTCATTACAGATGGTTGTGAGCCACCATGTGGTTGCTGGGAATTGAACTCAGGACCTTTGGAAGAAGAGGCAATGCTCTTAACCTCTGAGCCCCAAATATGTTATTTTTGTATGTATGAAGTGAAGCTAGTTCTACTTTCCACCTTTCTTTCTTTCTTTCTTTCTTCCTTTCTTTTTGCTTGCTTATTGAAACAAGGTCTGCTTCTGTAGCTCAGGTAATCTTGGAACTCGGTGTAGCCGAGGCAACCTTAAACTCATGGCAGTCCTCCTGCATCTGCCTCCCAAGTGCTGGGGTTCCGGGAGTGAGGTCCAATGCCTTCCAAGCCTCACCTCCATATTTGTCTGTGTCTGCAAAACCCCTCTCCTGTCTGCCAGGACATAGGTCACTCTTGTAGCTAGAAACGGGGCTAGCTACATCCTGATCCCCACAGATGGACAGGCTGCACCTCCTGCTCCTGCTGAAATCGGGGGCTAGAGCCATCCTGAAAAGCCTCAGTCTCTACCTTCCACTTCCACAAGCAGTCAGTCAGGCTTGCCCAGGGGAATTGCCTTGATTTGCTGACCCATGTTGTTTAACCATTTTTAAAAATTTTGTTTATTTATTTTGTTTTTTTTTTTGAAACAGGGTTTCAGTTGCTCTAGCCTGTCCTTGAACTTACTATGTAGCCAAGGCTAACTGTTAACTCTTGAGGGATCCTCCTGCCTCCTCTTCCTCCTCTTTTTGCAGCAGGAGGGCTTTGTTCTTGCTAGATAACCCCAGTGCTCTACCCCCCAAATTATTTTTTTAGATTTATGTATGTGTTTTGCCTGCATACATATATGTGCATGCCTGGTGCCCAGGGAGGTCAGAAGAGGGTTCAGAGTCCATGGTACTGGATCAACACATGACTGTAAGGCACTGGGTGGGCTCTGAGAACCAAATCTGGATCCTCTGCAAGAGCAGCATATACAGTTACTCAGGCTGGCCTTAATCTCACTCTGCTAGCCCAGGCTAGCTAGGTGGGTTTGAAACTGGGACCCTCCTCCCTCAACCGCTAAACTGCATCAGTTGTCGGCTTGTTTCCCCTAGCTGCTTGGTGCCAGTGTTTGTTTTTTTGTTTTTGTTTTTTTTTAATTTTCTGAGAGAGGGTTTTACTATGTAACCTTGTGTGCTGGCTAGTTTTATGTCAACTTGACACAAGGTAAAATCTTTTTTTTATATATATATTTATTTATTATGTATACAATGTTCTGTCTGTGTGTATGCCTGCAGGCCAGAAGAGGGCACCAGACCTCATTACAGATGGTTGTGAGCCACCATGTGGTTGCTGGGAATTGAACTCAGGACCTTTGGAAGAGCAGGCAATGCTCTTAACCTCTGAGCCATCTCTCCAGCCCCAAGGTAAAATCTTTTGAGAGGAGGGAACCTCAACTAAGAAAATGCCTCCATAAAAATCAGGTTGCAAACAAGCCTGTTGGGCACTTTCTTAATTAGTGATTAAGGGGGGGGGGGCTTGTGGGTGGGGCTATCTCTGGGCTAGTGGGCCTGGGCTCTATAAGAAAGGCATCTGCTGGGTGGTGGTGAAATTCCAGCCCCCAGGAGGCAGAGGCAAGCGGGTCTCTGAGTTCAAGGCCAGCTTGGTCCACAGAGTTCCAGCACAGCCAGGGCTACACAGAGAAACCCTATCTTTAAACGCACCCCCCACCCCTGAAAAAAGAAAGGAGTCTGAGCAAGCCATGAAAGTAAGTCAGTAAACAGCACCCTCCAAGTCTCTGCATCAGCTCCTGCCTCCAGGATCCCGTCTTGACTTCCCTTCCTTAGATAATGAACAGTGATCTGGAAGTGTAAGCCAAATAAACTCTTTCCTCCCCAATTTGATTTTGGTCATAGTGTTTTATCATAGCAACAGTAACCCAAAGTCAGACACCTTTCTCTTCTAGAACTCTGTAGATCAAGATGGCCTTGACTCATAGGATCTACCCACACCCACCTCTGCCTCCTAAGTATTGGGATTAAACGCTTATGGTATTGTGCCTGATTAAAAAAAATTATCAGAGCGGGGCGGTGATGGCGCACGCCTTTAATCCCAGCACTGGGGAGGCAGAGGCAGGCGAATCTCTGTGAGTTCAAGGCCAGCCTGGTCTACAAGAGCTAGTTCCAGGACAGGAACCAAAAAACTACAGAGAAACCCTGTCTCAAAAATCAAAAAAAAAAAAATTATCAGGATAATATCAGAGGCTAACTAATGGGAGTTGATTTTCTTCTTCCCCCATGTGGAATCTGGGGATCGAACTCACATCAATAGACTTGGCAACAAGTGCCTTTACTTGCTGAACTAGCTCAGCGGTCCAAGGTCTGCATTTCATGGCCTCTGTCTAGTAGTGTATAAAGGATTGCTGTCATTATTTATACTGCTGAGCAGATGTTGTCAGCAGTTTGGTAATCAGAAGCGCGGTCTATGTGTCTAAGTCCTGGGGTCTACGTTCTTTTGATCTGCCATGTTGTTCTCTGAATATGCTTTGGTTCTCTGCTACAACAAGGCACCAATCTTCCCAGGTCCTAGAATCAGCCGGTAGGTACTCCAGTCTGATTCTGGTGTGGGAGTGTAGTTAATGGAGAGAGAGTGCCTACCGTATCCAAGGCCCTGACTTCTATGCTGTACCCACGTAAGGGGGCGGGGGTTAGAAAGACTAAAGGAAACCACATTTCTCAGAGTGGGAGATGGACGGTGTCAACGCAGAAGGGAGGAAACACAGCACAAACCCTGTTCTACTGGATGGGAGCTGGTGATAATCACCCTCGTGTTTCTATCTACAGGTAGGAAATGAATGTAGGGAGTCGAGTGCTCACCAGTTACAGCACTTGATACTCTTGCAGAGGACCTGGGTTCAGTTCTCAGCATCCATGTGGCAGCTCACAACCAAGCATCAATAACTCTAGTCCCAGGGGATCCAACACCCTCTCTGGCCTCTGCAGGCACTGCACACATATGGCGCACAGCCAGCTATGCAGGCAAAACACATACACATAAAATAAACCTAAAAAATTTTAAAATTGAATTATAATTTTTCTTTTTAAGCATCACAAAAACTGCTTCAACAGGGCTTTCCCCTTGTTGGCTGTGGGGCTCAGATGCAAAGCGCCTGCGCACTCA